AGAGAGAGAGAGAGAGAGAGAGAGAGAGAGAGAGAGAGAGAGAGAGAAGAAGAGAATTATGAACGTTGGCAAAAGAGGTAAAAATGAAGCAGTAAGTGAAAAATTATTCCCTCTTTTGCATAGAGTCAAAGCGAAGAGTCTGACAATTGGTAGTTGTTGTTGTTGCCTTCTTTACAAAGTCAAACAGCCAGAAGTGACTGAACTTATAACAGTACATAGGATCCGATTGCTGCTCTGACTCGTGTCGGTTTATTCATAATGAAAATGTTTTTGCTTATTCGGTCTAGAAAAAGGGATAATTTGTCTCAACCAGACTCAGCTCTCTGACATACGATGAAATTTGTATTCTTTTGACCAATATCTAACTGTTTAAATGTTTTGACTCATTTGAAAAAACAGAATTAAGATCATGTCGACAAGAGTAGAAGAAAAAAAAGCCAACAGGTATGTAATGCTGGAAGAAAAAAACTACAATCGAAACAATAACAATCGCGCTAATCTTCTTCTCGTTTTATGTGAGCGGAGAGCGCGAGGTCTTAGTTCTGTCATTAGTTCAACTCCAGTCTTGTAAGTTCAGCATTAAATAAAAACACTTAAATCAAGATAAAAGAAGATTAATAATAAAGAAAATCGTATTTACCAAAAGGCCAGTCTCAACATTTGGCAACAGAATAATTTTTGATCCGTCCATAATACCATTCTCTTTTATCGATGTACCATCGTGAAGTTCTCTGTAATGAAAAACGAATGAAGAAGAAAAAAAATCATCAGTAAAATGAATAATAATTTTAAATTTGTTTAACTAAAAAAAGAAGCAAATATTGCATCCATGCTCCAGAACAAGGTGAAGTAAAAACCCAGTTGAACAAATCGAAAACAACAATAATATCTTCCGAAAGTGTGTACAATGGTGTTTGTTCATATCGTTTGACTCATGGGCCGAAAATCGAGTAATGAAAATGGTCACTTTTGATGTTAGTGTTGCACAGCACACAAACACGTTTCGATCAATTCAAAAAGTCTTTGCACTCGTGAGTGTTTGCACGTATATCGATTTTTATTGCGTTCGGTATTAAAAGTCGTTTGATATAAGGTGAAAATGGCAGCCAAGTCGAGTGTAAACAGAGAGAGAGAAAGAGAGAAAAGGTGAAAATCGACAAGTGTTGTTGCATGAAAGAGTCAATACGTGTACAACACACAGAGAAGGAAAAAAAACGTCGCAAACTCTTCGAATCGCCCATATTTCATTGACTATGCACTTTACAGCGTTCGTATTAAGCGACTGTTTTTTGTTTGTTTTTTTTTCTTGTTAATGAGTTCTGGCCTTTTGTGCTTCGTTTTTTTTTCTCTTGCTCACTCTCGCACCCTGAATAAAAACAATCACCAAATAAGAATGGTGGCGAAGGTAATATGCAACGAAAAATGCCAACTTTAGACGCGATTATATCGAATTCATTGTCAGAATATTCTTAAATGTTGTTGAACGATTTCGAAAAAATTCTATCGCGCATTGTTTAATGACTCTCGGTGAATACAAAATTCAAGGTTTATGTCTCTCGATATCTCTTCTTGTGAATGTGTGTTTTTGCACATAAAATTCAGGTAATGTGTGAGCATTTGTGCTGCCCCGGACTAATTTAGTATGTAAAAATCGCTGAAACTGGTTTTTGGATTGTACTTCTTTTGTCAATTCACACGCAACAGCAGCAACGTCAACAGCAGCAATCTCTTGGTTATGCTTCTTCTGAATCATTTATGACCAAGAGAGTGCGCACGCAGGCACACACATGAGACAGGTTAAAACGATTAGTCGTACACCGAGATTAAAAACAGATCCACGCCCGTCAACACTACAACACCGTTGACAACACATTAAAACGAACTTCAATCCGTTCGTTCGCCGAACTGTAAACAGTTATAAAAGAGGATTCTTTTCTCATTTTCGCTTCAATTAGATTCGCCGATTAAAATCATTACATTTCTGTTTGTTAATCAGAGCAATTCAATTTTTTCAACTCCAATTTAATACCGTTGCAATTTGATTCATTTTTTTTCGGTGGCTTTGCCTCATCCAAAGACTTTCAATTCCATTTCATTTTGTTCGTGCGCGCACATATGTATACACAAAGACATAAGAAAATAGATTAGATTATCGATACAACCTGGCTTAGCCTTGGAAACAATTTTAACAGTTTAGGCCATTGCTGTGGATGGTGATTTTTTTTTTGGAGAGAATGCCTTTGGTTAATAAGCAAACGAGAGTTAAATGGTTGAGTAGAATATATGTACGTAGACAGACGATTTTCACAGACATTGAAAAGGATAAAAAAGCGACAACGATATAGGATTTTTTTTCTCTATGTCTATGCGTGAAAAAGAAACTATTGTGAAGTTATAAAATGAAACGTTCAAACTTGCCAATTACTGGCATCTCATTCATATGTAATTTACTTTGAATAAGTTTAACTTTCAAATGTCTGAAATTGAACTTTTGAACGAACAAAAAATACACACAAACACACACACACCTTCATTCTTCAGTTGAAAAAAAAACAGAACATCACACAATTTAGCATTGCAAGTGAAGCCAAATTCACCTTGCAGAATTGATAAAAAACAATAAACAAATTGCTGTTAAATCGAATTCATTGTGAATGACCGTAACTGCGATCGACGAGAACATATTGAAGAGTGAAATCGATGAATTTCGTAGTACGAAATCCGTACTTCCTCCTCCTGCGCTCTTTATTTTTGGTTCGTTACCGTCGCACACTGTACAAGAGTAATTAGAAACGGAATAGCATTAGCAAAATGGTCGGCCGAATGTTTCAAATGAATCGTGTCTTAATGGCATTTTCTGTATCATTTGCGTTGTGATTATTCCGAATTCATTGGAATCAGCTTCAATTCCGAAGGCGGAAAATGTAGAAATTTTCGTGTGTTGGTGTGCCAGCCAATGTTTCCTTTCGACGCAGAGAAGAAAAAAAGTGTATATGATAAAGATAAATATAGACGGATGACAGACAGTCAGCCGTACTTAGTGTGTAGTGTATTTACTTTTTTTCTTTCGTATTTGGTATGTGTGTGTGTGTGTGCTATGTCTGTGTACGGAGGCATCTTGAGACTAATTCACATTTTATTCTTCTTCTTCTTCTTCTTATTCGCTTTAAATTCGCATTTCATTTCAGTTAAGCTGTGTTGTACGAATACGTGCTGCTGTCGTCATATCTCTCGACGTGTATTTTCAAACGAAACCCAGCGCATATATTATCTATCCATCGCTCGTGCGTTGTTTTAATGGCTCCTAAAATGACGTCATAAAGCGCTTATTTCTTTCTTCGTCGTCGTCGTTGTTGTCGTTTTTGGGTTCGTGGTTCTGCCCGCTTCATTTCCACGTATTGAATTCGTTCTTTATTACGAATCAAATCACATACATACGGAGGAGTACGGTGTGTATTCCCTTCTGGCAGAATAAGCGAGAGTCATTGCGCCATTGAGAAGTTAGGCGTCATTTCTTTAAATAATATTAAATGTTCTTTTGCGTTCGTTGGTTCGTCAAATTTTTGGTGCATCGCAACAGGAATTGTGTACCATTTTGCATAGCATCTCGTATTTATCCTCAATTTTACTTTTAACCCTTGTTCCCTTCAAATTGATTGTATCAGTGTTTGCGCGTTTCGTCATTTATTCCTACGCAATCAAATTACTACATATTTCGTTTGTAACAGCAGCAACGGCGGCCGCAGCAGCAGATTCTTTGTCGTGCTACTATCGTGTTCCCGCTACGACAAAACGCATTTTGCACCAGGAATAATATGTTATGTAAGTGTGCGCGGGGCTACATAAAGCCCACCATGTATGTATATGTACATAGATACGCAATCGCTGGAATAGTATATACGTGAATGTATTCGAGAGGAATGATGGTTCACAACGCCCGAAATAAATGTATGCGTTCGGTCGCTCGCTCGCTCGCTCGCTCGTTCAATGAGAACATTTCACACGTAGCAGAATAGCCAAGCTTTCCCCGATATTATCTTCACTCTATCGATCCGAACCAACACGTTTAGTTGAATGTTCCAAACCAACGCTTTGGGCTTACGTCATGTAGAGCCTTTTCGTTGGGCAGAGAACAAAAAATAGAAACAAACGAAATTCTCGTGATTTCAAAATGGATTTATCGTACCAAAAAGGACGACTTCGACGACTCGTTGAGCGCAGCTAAATCAAAGATCTCATTCGATGCATGTCATATGGCGACATCATGAGAATTTTTTGTCTCCCTTCCTTTTGTAATATCGTCATGACGTCCTCTTACATTGTTTCATGACAAAGATCGCTTTTGCCCAGTGTTATCTTGACAATGACGCTAACCGGGCTTTATTGCGTCTTTAGTTTAAATCAGCATAAATAATTTGAATGAAACCTTCTTCTGATGATCAACACAGCATCGTTCCATTGTGTGTCACGCTATTGGTGTATTGCGCAAGAGAAAAATCCAAAATGAACTCGTGTAAGTAGTGAATGAATTTGATGTGCAAAAGAGAGCCATGACAATAAAAAGCAATAGGCAACCATAGAAACTGCTCTATGGACTGTTTTTCCATTCACTTTGGAATCCTTGTTGGAAGAGTGCAAATGTTCCACGACTTTTTTTTTCAGAACTTTATATATTCGATTATATACAACGCAACAGATTCTGAAAGCCGAGTCGAGTCGAAATGGGGGGGACAAAATGAACACCATTCAAACAAAAGTGTGTTAGATAATAATTCGTCAAACAAAGGAAGTATTGAAGATAAAAAGAAAACCTTGCTTTCAAGCATTCTGACATTACAAATGGCAAGTGCAAACAAAAGTTTCCTTTTCTTCTTTTCTCATTTCATTCACATTTTTCATCCGCTCGCTGTATAGCGTTTGAATTGATTGACTCAGAACTTGAACGATTGCACAAGAACTTCAAGCTAATTGTTCGTGTTCGTGGAAAATGTTTGAGCCAACACTAACCGAACTGCCATTTTGTTGTGCAATTTCAGTCGTTTGGTACTTTTCCTCTAACCACTGCTACTGCTGCTGCTGCTGCTGCCACTGTCGTCGCCGCCGCAATCATTCTGAATCAAAAAGTTTCTTCCCGTAACAATTTCACGGGATGCAAGGCACACAGGCCACACCTATGAATCAATAGTACGTGCTCAATACATTTGTCGAATGCAAATACGGTAATTTTAAAATCTGAATTCGTTAGCAGGATTTCTTCGAGTTTGTTCGAGAAAAGAAGCGAGAAAAAAATGACAATTTCTCACGTCGGAAGACGCTACACAATTTCAAAGGGAACCGAAAGGAGAGAAAAAAAGCACGGCATTCCGAATAAATGAAACATTTTTCAGTTTGAGTGCAAATATTTATGTTATAAAACGCGAATACCATGCCTCTTCGTTCACTCATTCGCACTCAGGATGAGTGCTTATTAGCAGCTAGTTCTTGCAGCGAAAGAATATACTAGAGGAAAATTAATTTCATTTGTGTAAATTTTGGGTTGGATTGGATATACACGATGGCAACGCCGAGCGTGACGTCAAATGCGCATTGCAAAAAAAAAGTCCCGATATCACAATATATCGAAAAAGAAGAAGCAGACGACGACGAAGCAGCAGCAACAAAAAAAACTAACAAGCGCACACACACAAACAGAGTCTACCTAATACAATTTAAATGATTTCCGATCGAACAA